AATCCATATTGTAAGAAGATCCTAGGAAGGCACAGCAGTTTTTTTCTACCATCAGTACTATGTACTTTACAAGAAAAGTTTAGCAACCAAGTCATGTGATGAGTATGTCAAACAGGACTTCAGCCTGGCATGATTTGACACAGAAATAATGGACAAACACCAGTTATTCCTCCTAAGTCACTTACATACCTCTTGGGTTTTCAAATAAAAGCATTCTAATTAGCTGTCAAAGCAGGAACCAGTGCAGGAAATTATCTCTGTGATGTATGGGACCTGAGACAAATTGTTTCACACAGTCCTTGCTCTTTGCAAACTGTCTGGATGGTAGATTGCAGGACTGATCCTCTCACCTTATCTTCCAGGTATTCCAGCACTTTTCTACCAATCCTACCTGACTGTTCAGGCATATAGTTGTAGAGCAGCAGCTGAGTACAGAATGTCTTGGCATCCTTGGAATAGGGAAGAGTGTTATATACCATATGAGACAAAGGCAGGTGCTCAAGGACCTGATTTATTCTTCATGCTTTTGGAAAGAAGAGGAAAAAACATTTTCTGCTTCTGAATCAGTTGGCTTTTGAAAATTAATAAACCTGTTGTTATCCACTCAGCTGCTGGGTGACCTGTTTTTATTGTACTCTGATGTGCAATAAAATGAAAAAAGGCGATACTATGAAGGAAAACTCAAAGCCTTATTTGAATGCATAACCGAGTTTGTTTACTTTGAAAGAACAATAACAGTGTAATGAATGTCTGGTGCAGCATTAAGTACATCCCTGTCAAAATTTGATTTATGTGATCATTTCTGGATGTTAACTCAACCATTGTTAACATAACCTCTGTCATTTTTATATTCATACTGCCTGTGGGCATGCACTAGTGCAGCACTGTAAAAGAAATCTGAAAGAAAACTGGTAGCAGTTCTAGTGCAGGAAACCTATTTCCCTGAAATAACAGATCTTGGGGTATAGTGTGCCATAGATCATGCTAAGGCGAGCAGATCTGTGTAACTGGAGGAACTTTGTTAGGTGAGAGAAGGCAGCCATTGATTCCTGTAGCTTATTAACCTCTTGAGGGCCCTGTGCCATATCCAGACATTATCCATGGCCTGATAGTGTGTATATGTGATGTTGCTATCAAATTACCTAAAGAAAAATGCAACCACTTTTGCTGCCTGCTAAAACACACCAGCAGATATGCTGTGAGCTCAGGCTGCCTTGTGTGTTTGAAGGTAGAAGTTAAGCTTTGTGAGGAATACTTACACAAATGCTTCTGTAAATGTGTATTTAATTCGTACAATATGTGTATGTAATTAATACAATAAATTTGTTCAGTATACAGAGAAGGGTTTCTCCAACTGCCATGCTAGGCAGTAACTCCATAGGGTATGAGAATGGGCATCTTTGAAGAGATACAGATGATGCTTTTTTTAGGTAAAAAAAAAATTCAGAAGTTGCCCCAATGATGAAAGATAAACGCAGTTCTAAAGGGAAGTTTTGTGGGTATAAGCAAAAGACATTTTGTTTGTCTTTCATGTTCATTTCAAAATTGAACATAATTACTAAATCCTTCCCATGCGAGCCTTGCAGCTTGTGTTCTTTAGGATAATACAACATAAGTTTTAGTACTCATAGTTCCATAGCTGAAGTTCAGTGATATCTGCAATGATATTTTTATTCATTTACTTGTAATACAGTTTAACCTAATCAGAAGTAGCAATCAATAACTCTTTATGTTTCAAAGTCACCATACAACATGTATCAGGTATTGTCACTGAAGTTTTATATTTATAATTGAAGTTGAAATTTACAGTTGTCAATAAGGAAGAGGTATATTCAGTGTATTACTATAAGTCATTCACATAAACACTTAATTTTGTCTTAAAATGCATCTTGATTTTGTGTCAGCTGGTGGATCACATATGCTAGTAATGGCTCTTGGCTGCTGGGAGATTCAGGTGCCACTGTTGAGCTAAGGACAGAATTTGAGCATTCATTCTTAGCTGTCTCACCCTTTGTTCTTCTTTTTAACCATCCTTTTTCTCTCAACTTCGTATCGCCATGCTTTTCTTTTGTGTTTAACACTGATCTTGGGAGGGGAAGGAGAAAATGCTGATGAGATTATAATAGTTTGGGGTGTGCTGTGCTCAGAGAGGGGCAGAATCTTAGTCCAGTTTTATGCAAGACACCATTGTAATAAGGTTCATTATTGTGGATGTCGTAATAATCTGCTGTGAGTCATCGCAATCATCTGACAAATCCTGTGATTCATAGACAAATCAATTATTACTGAAATGACCAAAAGGATGCAATTTTAACATGGTACCCTCTAAGTCAACATCCAGAGTTTGCATGCAGATAGTCTGCAGTGCAGGATTCGAGCTGTTCTATCAGGAGCCCAATATTGAAAATACGTCTCCTGTCATTCTTTATCAGTATTATGAACTTCTTCCCTTATGAATGAAAATAGAGGACAATAGATTATTGTGAGTAATCAGTTTTGCATTATATATTGTAATACAGTGCTCAGCTGAAGCAGCAAGTCATGTTTCAGAGGTGCTGTCTGCCAATGATTAAATTTGAGATCCATGACGACCTTATGGAGCACTGTGACAAAGCAGTGGCAACAACTTTGATGGTTCAATTCAGAAAATATGTTTCACAATAAGAAATTATTTATTTCAACCTGATGTGTTTGTGGTTTGGTAAGCATTTGTGCTACTGAAATAATCTGGTAATCCAAAGGATAAAATGACCAGTTCATAATCCAACATACGGCTGCTTGTTGGGACTCAGGCCAAACCTTCACCTTCAGATCACCCCACAGCAACTCTAAAAACCCTACATAAGAATTTTAAAGAGAGCTTAGGGGAGCGTAGGGTAATTTCAGTCCTCTGCCTTTAGCTGAAAAAAACCCAAATATTAACTTAGATAAAAATCAGTCAGAGTAACTATTCATTTTCAATGTACAAAAGGGAAGTTATCTGTACTTCAAAATTTAAACCTGTTACCTGAAAGCGGTGACAATTTGGGGGCAAAGATGGAATTAGGAAGGTTGGAAAGTCAAGAAACAGCTGACACAAGTTTAAAAAGTTAATTCATTTTAAGAGTGTTTTGTTAACCAGGAATTAAGCTGAATGCTAGCCATTTCTTAGCAGCACTGTATAAATGCAAAGAAATGTGAAAACAAGCGTACTGGTTCCTCCACATGATGCTGTCACTGGGTAACTGTTAGCACCTATGTTAGTCACTCCTTCAACAGGCCATGAAATTGTTCCAGCTTTTAAAATATGTGAGAGAATTAAGGCAGGTGCTGGCACATCATAAATGAAACTCTAACCTTCAGGCTGGTACAGTAGTGACATTGTTACTGTTCTCATTCCTGAAAACACATGGCTTGTCAAGTTGCAATAAAATTATTTTGTGCTTTTATATTATTAAAACTCAGTGGCGTCTTTGGGCTGCCCACGAGAGGTGTGAGACTCGCAGGCGTAAGAAAATATATTATTGACACTATGTATGTAAATGCATATTTTTTTGTTGTTACTGACTTTGTGTTGCTCAGTAGCTGTTGGATTACCTAAGGAAGAGATTAGCTACAGAAGGTGCTCACATCTGCTGTTGGAGAAATCAGATGCTGAGCCGTCTATGATCCAAAAAAACTCCTAATGACTTCTCTGAAAAAAATCTCAGAATAATAATACTCATATAACCAGCATACAAAGTCAAGCCTGATTTCACAGCAGAACAAAGGCTCAGCATTTTTTCATAAAAGGAAATAGCAGAATATAAAGAGTCATCATAAGTCTGTGGATATTTTTCCTGAGCTCTTATTTAAACCTGAAATCTAATGAATTGCTGTGCAGCTTCTTACCTCAAGCAGTCATTACTGTTCTCTCAAAGGAGCTCTTAATCTTCAGCTCTTACAAGGTTCCTCTTACAGATAAAACTGTGTTGAATCTTACTACCTTCAAATAACTGTCCAGTTTCTGTCTTTCCTTTTTCCAAACTTGTACCAGACTGTGAAATGAAAACATCACAGCTGTATGTGAGGTGCTGTTAAAAGTTCAGATGAAATTATCTAAGTTTATTGTCAGTTTTAGGAAGCCAGCATATTTTTCTTACTAACAGTAAGGTAATTTAATTACTCTAATTACTGATTTAATCACTGTATAAAAACTGCCTTGGTTTTTGTGCCACATTTAGCCCTATATGAAAATCTGCTAATACAGCATTAGGGAATTAGAATTATCCTGCTACTGAGTGAAAAGAACATGTTTTCTTGTGTAATCAGAAACACATGTATTGCCAGAATTTTATTTTCTTAATTTATTTTCTTAATTTATAATTTGCCTTTATATGTAGGAAGGACAGCAGATAGTACGATAGGATTATTAACCTATTCTTGCTTCTTTCTCTCCATTTTCTCATTTTCCAAAAGTGGGTTTGTGCTTTCATACTGTATTTTGACATCTCTTCTGTGTCACTTTTTTGGGTTTATATCGAGGATCACCTTCTATGCTAGTGCTGTGCAATTTTCATGTGTTCCAGTGACAGTCCTGTGAGGTAGCAAGGTAATGCTATTTTCAATTGTATAGCTAGGGAACAGAGGCACAGAAGAGTAAGAGCAGCTTTTCCATACCTGACTCTGCCTAGTCATTTAGGCTCCCTGTAGACATTTAGAGTTAGGTGATATATCACCCCCCAGTGACTTAGCCCAGATCACATTCAAGTCTGTGGCAGGCAGTGTACTGAATTCATCTTCAAGGCCCATGTTAATACTTTTCCTTATTGGAGTATATTTCCTTTCTGAAATAAACATGTATATTATGCTGAAATACAGGGATTTGAATACTGCTGCTTCATGTGGATTGGCAAGAAGCATGAACTTTATGATTTTTGCGTTGCTATTTTGAAGGTTTTGCTATTTCTCTCATTAAATAATTAAGAATGTCATCCTTCATATTGGGTTTTCATGGTTTTGGTACTGCTTGCTTTTCACAGATTCTACACTCTCAGGGGAGATTGGCACCAAGAAAAAAGTGAAAAGACTGTTAAGTTTCCAGAGGTATTTCCATGCATCCCGGTTACTGCGTGGAATTGTACCACAAGCCTCTCTGTACCTACTGGATGAGGACTACCTTGGGCAAGCAAGGGTAAGACAGGTTTTCACGTATCCATTTCTTTTAATAATATTCCAGAGAGTGCTGGGTTTGTTTCAGTCTTCAGATAAACAAATGTATGGCTGATCTTTCTTAAATGACCCACGTCCCGTGTTACTTGCCTGCCTCACAGCAAACGGACTGTCCATTCCTCTTTTATGGTTACAGCTTTAAAGGCTTAGTCGCAAAGCAACAAGAATATGTCTAAATCTATTCAGCATTTTCAGATTCTGTCAACTGAAATTATAACCTGGATTTACTAAAGGGTGAAGGATCCCTGGCTGAGTTACTGATTTAAGTGAGGGCAGCCTTGACACAGGATTTAGTTCATCCACTTGAAACAAGACAGCTGTCTCTCAGCTGGTATGGACCAGCTATTAGGCAACCCAGAATAGCTCTTTGTAATGGCAAAGACTAGGAAACAAGGAACATTCACTGTAAAGAACTTTGAGATAATCAAAATACAGTTCTCATATTTTGCAGCTCTCATACTTGCTTTGGATGGTATTTTCTAACAAAACTTGCACAGTTGGTGGCATTGGGATTGTGTGCCTATGCAATACTTGCTCTCTGCAAGAGAAGATTACGTGTCAGGTGTTAAAAAGTAATTAAGAATCCAGAACCGGTTGGAATATAGACTAAGCAATGGGAATGAATGCACATTTCACTCACACATATGGCATTGTAGGTCATACAGTTAGTCCAGACTCAGTCTCTTGACTGAACTGATGTAGCTGTGAAAACATACTATATGGTGATAATGATGGATTCTTACGCATGGCTGAGTGAGCTTCACAGAAGCACTTTATGTAAATTTATAAAAGCTATTCCTCTGTATTGGTTTGTTTAGCAAAATCTAATTCATATTCACTGTGAGAGCTAAGATTGTGTTTTACTGTAACAAAAACCTAAGTGAATTTGTATTGAATTGATCTGAGGACATGAAAGAACAATAAAAAATTGTGCAGTAAAAAAGAATATTTTCATAATGTTTTGTTTTATTTTATTCCGTGTTTTAGGCTCCATTTAGAAGGTATTTTTAGTGTCAAGTTCAAAACCTCCTCAGTTAGAAGTGCAAATGATATGCTTTTTTATGCAGTAGAGGTAAACTTGATTCCTGATGCCTGATATTTCACGTACATCTCTATAGCTTTCCTGAACAAAAGCTGTGAGTAGCAGCAACCAATCCTGTGATTGAGGAATGTGGAATAATAATTTAAATCTGCTTTACAGTTTAACATACCAGTCATTTGCCTTGTCCTGTTTGTTTTTTCTAGCATATGCTGTCCAAAGTGGGAATGTGGGATTTTGACATTTTCTTGTTTGACCGCTTGACAAATGGTAAGTAATTTTCAAAAATGTTTATCTTAGCATCTCATACGTGACTATTCTAAAAATCCCTAATTAATTAATTGCTAACCATTTCCAGTTTAGATTTCTGAAGAGAAGTTACACACAATCAACTTCTCTTCAAATCATATCCTTGAACATTTTCAGGCTTTTCCTGTACTATAGGATTATGTTTAGAGTGTGGCTTTGTCTTCATCTGATCTCCTGCATTTGTTATGGTCACCTTTTAAAGGAGGTGTTTCAGTTGCCTTTACCTGGGAAATTCCAAAAGTACTTTAAATATACCTGTTGAATACATTGGTCAGTAACTCCCAATGTCCATAATCAGCAAATGTGATCTTAAGATACGTAGAGACAAGAAAGCCATACCATCAAATCTTGTTTATATACAGAAACAATTTATATAATCTACTTCTGATTAGCTTTAGAGTGACATTTTTGAGTGTGTTATCACTAAGGTGATAAGAGCTAGCTAATACAAAATTACCAAGATTCTTGCTTGGTTTTTAGCTACATTTTAAGGGAATCTAACAGTTGTTCCTCTCTGCTTTTAGGAAACAGTCTCGTAACACTGCTTTGTCACCTCTTCAACGTGCATGGACTTATTCACCATTTCCAGTTAGACATGGTTACATTGCACAGGTTTTTAGGTAAGTGCTCACCTCAAACCCATCTTTAAATGCAGTTTACAGCTTAGGTAGGGCATCAAAGAAGGCACTGGTTTGGTCTCCGTATCTGTGTAAAATCATGATGTTGTTGCAAATGTTTCCGTAAAACATTTGTGTGATATATATTAACACACAATTTACAGGCACTCAGGTACTTGGTTCAGTACCTATTAAGTCAATGGAAGGACTTCAGAAGGCTCTGCACTGGGCCAAAGCATCCCAGTACCACAGTTGCACTGGTGGTTTAAAAAAAAGTATGCCAGGCAGAGATGTGGCCAGCCAAGTAGGCCCACACAGACAGACAGACATTGCAGAACCTACCCGTGCACAGTATAATTGTGGTGCAGTGTAATTATGTTAGTGACTAATAGACCACTGAGACCCAGGGCAGTTAAAAGCTTATGTGCAAAATTTAACAAATTATATCAAGCTGTCTGCACTGAATAGTGTTGATGAAAGCCCCTGCTGCTGTTACTGCCAACTGAAACATTAGTCCCATGCTGTCAGTGAACCAAAAGAAGAAATTGGCCAAAATCAATTACTTTTTGCATCATGTTTTGAATGCAGCTGAATGCTGGTTTGTTAGGCTGTGAGGCGGAGTTTCCAAGGCAGGGTCTCTTCTTTAAGACTGCCTAATTGTTGCTTCTGGAAAGCATTCCTCCGGTGTGGAAACAGACAAAATCTCCCTGCTGTTTGTCACTCCTGCGGGCAGCCACGAAGTGGACAGTCAGATAATTAGAGCTAGTGGTACTCAGGATTTAAAGGATTACCCACTATAACTTCAGATGCCTGTGGAGTTGGAAACAAACTGAAGGCTGGGACTTACCTTGGCATTCCCCATGCTGGTGATGAGTGCCATGGGAAATTTGCTGATTACCTTTCTCTGATTAATTTGATAGTGTCTAGGAGAGTGCTTTGCACAAGATCACCTGCAGCTTCCAGTGTTCATGTGCTGTTGCCCTAAGATTACCTAATGGTGCAGGTACTGCACCACGGAACAGATGAGTGTGAAGCACACACCTCAATGATTTTCTGTACAAGTGAAAGCTGAGAGTTAAAAGATTGGTGTTTCTTGTCCAGCTGGACCAGTTCCAGCACTGCAAACCAAAACATGAGTGAGTGGTGTTTTAAAATGAACACATAGATGTGACTAAAATTATCACAGGATTTTTCTCTGAATACACCAATGCTCTATCTTTTGATTCTCTGCCTGGAGGATGTAGGAATGACTTTGACTGTAGTTAGTCACTCAAATAACAAATGATGCCAGGATGTCAGGGCCTCACCTCCTGCTGCTGTAAAATAGGTGGTACTGCCTTAATGACATATTACTCCCTTACGACACCAGCCTAAATAATTACACTCCGTTGTGGGTGAATTTGCCTCTCTTCCTTATTTATTTTACTCCTGAATGAGAGCCTTCACTAAGGTAAGAAAGAGTTGATTTATTAACTAGACCCAGTGTATCCCCTTGGGTTTCACAAATCCTTTCATGCATTTTTTCTCTAAAGGTATCCCAATAAGAGCACTAGTCTAAGAAAGCTACAGCTATTTGAAAAAACTCCTTAGGCAGTTGACTGCAAAACCTCAAATTGTATTTTAAATCCAGTTCCCACTTGTGGCCGTGGTATTCAGACAAAAGGATCTTTGTTTTCTGTTTTGGTTCCCAGTTATGGTTCAAGAAGATTACCATAGCCAAAACCCATACCACAATGCTGTCCATGCTGCTGATGTCACACAAGCTATGCACTGCTATCTGAGGGAGCCCAAGGTAATGACAACCTTTCACGCTTATGTTGCTTTCAGATAATTCTCAGGTTTTTTCTCCAGGATTGGGGGGAAAAAACAAAAAAGAGCTATTTTTAGATAGCAGAAAATGATTGCGGGCTTGAAGTCAGCAACAGCTCAATAGCAGAGTCAGCTACAGACTGCAGACATTTCAAACAAGCTACTAGAGTCACTTCGCATCATGCAGGTGATGTATCAAACTGATGCTGAATGAGCTGGCATGACCATGTGTATTAGCCCCAGACCAGTGGCTGCAGTCCTCCCATCAAAGCCAGCAGAAGGCAACGCGTGCCTATGCCTCAGTCACCCCTGGGCATAAGCCTCTCACATCAGTATTTCAGAATACAAAATTGGACAGGGCAACACCTGAAGAGGGGACAGCGGTCCCTTGACTAGATCTGTTGCAACGGTATCCTCTGCATGAGTGAAGAGCAGCTTCTGGCTGCTGCAGCAAGCCCTCACAACATGAGGGTGTGACATTGCTTCATGTGTTACTGGAAGGCACTATAATACTGTAATGCTGAGCCACAGTGTAAGAATATAGCTAATTTTTCCTGGCTTGACTTAAGTGAAAGGAAGTTCTGCTAGAATTAGCAAATTGTTAGGCCAGAATATAATAATGGTAAGTGAGGACAGGAGCAGGCTCCAGCTTTCTTGTATTTCCATCTCCTGCAAAATCTGCAAGTGCCTTCTGTCAAGAAGTGTGGCGGACAGCCAACATCCAGATCTATACCACACTGCTCTTCATTTCTCATTTCAAGATGCTGTACTCTCTACAGACTCAGCATACTGGTAATAACTACATCACCTTGAGAAACAGAAAATGCCAAGACTTCTTTTTTTTATTCTGCCCCAATGATAACAAAATTTGCTTCTGAATGATAAACGGTATAAAAGAAAGAAATCTGGGCAGATTTTCAAATGTGGATGTCTGCAGCTAGAAAATTAAATTATGTTCCAATAAAATACCTATATTTGAACTGAAGTTGCTAACAGCCAAGTTTGAAATTTCAAAAGTTCATAAACTGCATTTTACAACACAGTGCTGCACTAGAAAAATTAAGCCTGATGTATTGCTGGTATTACTAAACACTGTATGAGGCACAGCTCTTATCATGTATGCTAACGTATGCCAGCCTGCTAGAATACTTACTTTTTTAAACTGAAGCTTTTAGACTATGCTCAGGTACTTCTGTAACAACTATCCCTATAATGCCATGAATGACAAGGAGATAAGAAATACAAACTGTAATAAAATACGAGTAATACAGTCTGATATCTTTATAGATGTTTGTTCAACAGTCACCTTTAAAATGTTGTTCACAAAATTTATTAAATATTTGACATTTGTGTACAAAAGCCTACAAAACTGAGCAATGCCATCACGTCAGCTGATTGGCTTATTTGCCAGAAGGGGAAAAAAAAGGTGTTTGCTGTTCATGTTCTTGTTGTGATTAATGTGTGTGATTCAGCTTGCCAACTTCCTCACCCCATCGGACATCATGCTTGGACTGCTGGCTGCTGCAGCCCATGACGTGGATCATCCGGGGGTCAACCAACCCTTTCTGATTAAAACTAAACACCACCTTGCCAGCCTGTACCAGGTAAAACTGCTCATCAAGTTGATAATACGTGAAATGATGTCAAGGAGAGTCTAAGCAATTTGCAGTGAACTTTAATGCCAAAATCTGGTGGCGGGGGGATGTTGATCAAGTCAACCTGCACTTCAGAACCTGGACAATTTCAGTTAAGCTCCTCACTGGGTGTCCTTCTTACAACAGAGCTGATACACATGAGAAAAGGTAGAAATGTCAGATTTTGTTGAGGATGTTTAAGCCAAGTTGGTTGCCTAGGTTATTTCTTCTGTAGATCATCTGGGTAAGGAACTGTGGGTAAGAGATTTAAAATCATAGTGAGACAATTTGTATTTCATCTTCCTTCAGTGAGCAAGTAAGCAGCAGGCATGTTCTAAATTGGCCTTGCATCAAAAGAAACTTGCTTCATGTGGCTCTAGTAAAATTAAACACTTAATGAATACTGCAGTTTAAAAAAAAAAAGAAAAAAGAGGATAGAGGAAACCAAAGGGAAAATTGTAGCTAGTGACACTAGTGTGCCTAGAGATACAAAGAAAGAACTTAAAAACAGACACCAAGTCACACCACAGGCTGTCTAGACCAGCATCCTGTTTCTAACAGCAGCCAGTAAAAGATCTCGGAGAGAAACATAGGCCTGGCATAAGTATAGATTGGTATATCCTCCACCTGGATATTCTCCCAGCTCGGGCAAACACGGGAAGAAGACTTCCTGAAACAAACACAGAGACCCTCTTGCTCAGTAACTACCAATGAACCCATCCTGCCCTGATTTTTGTGGTCCTTTTTGAGTATATTTGTAGTTCTGGCCTATGGCAATCACTGTAGCTCTGGATTTTATCTACAGCTGTCCTATGTGTATAATCTTTGCATGCATGTATACATTACTATGTATAAACCTCTATTCTATACGTTATACTTACATATACAGGCTGGAGCAATGCCATAAATCATTTTGGTTGTACTGATTGTAATTCATAGCTAATAAATGGAGGTGGTATTGATTTCGAGCCTTTGAAGAGTCAGCTTCATCCCTTGTAAGAGGATGTCAGAAGCAGGGTATCCCAAGTTTAAAATGAATCTAACTGAAGACTCACTAATAGTTCTGTATCTTTTTACACATACTTAAGAAATTGAGAGTTTGCTGTGATGTGCTTATGGCTTGAAAAGAGGTTCTCTCTTGTTTTTCCCTACTCGAGCAACATTTGGGTTTTCCGATAAGAAATGCAGCTATCCTGCCCTGAGATAAGGGAGTGGGCTATACAATGGGAGCCCCAGCCAGGGCATAGTGGTGCTCAGACACTTAAAACTTTGTGACTTGTCACAAGTTGGTGCAGCTTATGAATTCATACCTGTATGTGTCTGGTGCATTTTGCTCCAGTCTTTTCTAAGTGTCAGGCCAGCTGACAGGGGAGGGAGAAAAGCCAGAGACTAAGCCAGGGGACTTTGGCAAGGTTATGTTAAGGGTCCTCGGAAGAGGAGTGGGTAGAGCCGTTCCACAAAAACCCTGGTCCTTTTGTTGTGTAAACAACTCCTCTCAAATTAATAGTGGGAAACACTAATATATAACAAGGATGAAAATTCAGACTACTGTGAAAGAAATGTAGCTAAAATATTACTATCTCGGAAAGGTGGTTTCTGCTTAGCTGACTGGGCTTGAATATACTTTCAAATGTTGGTTAGAAAGGCAGTGACAATACAGAAAATGCAATCTTTCAACAGCAAATGTGACTGCTAAGTATCCTGTTTAGGGACAATCACTGGTAAGTTTGACTTATTTTATCTGAGATTGATCCCAGATTGTTTCTGAAGATTTTAGTAGTATGCAGTAAATGGGTGCCAGTAAAAATAACAATGCTGGAAAAAGTTCAGCTGAAAATGTTACTAGTCGAAAATTTAGATTCAGTGAATAGTCTTTAAAACAATAAATTATATTCTTCTCAATATTAGTGCTTTAACATGTGCTTGAAACAGAAACAAAAAAGTTCTAGCATTTTTGGGTTTTAAGTAGCAGAGCCACAGAACTGCTGGGACTAATCAGAAAAATGATTAAACAAAAGTAAGTTTAAACACAGCTGACAGACTTCTGTCACTGAGACAGTAGTAACTGAGACTAGAGGTTATCTGTTTATGGTGTCTCTTTGCTTGTGCTGGTTTGTACATTTAAACTAGAACTTTACATTTATATCTGGGAAAAAAGGTTTTGCAAAATGAGGTGTGATGGTTTATGCCCAGCCGGTAACTCAGCACCACGCAGCCTCTTGCTCAACCCCTGTTTGTCCCCTCACCACCAGGCAGGATGGGGAGGAGAACTGAAGGAATGTAAACCCCACAGATTGAGATAAGAACAGTCCAATAACTAAAGTATAATATAAAGCTACTACTACGACTAATAATAATAATGGTAAGGGAAATAACAAGGGGAGAGAACATAAACTAAAAAGGGAAGGGAAAAGAAAACAACAAGCACAAGTGATGCACAATACAATTGCTCACCATCTGCTGACTGATACCCAGCCCGACCTGAGCAGCGATCTGGGCCCTCGGGTAACTCCCCCCAGTTTATATACTGGGCGTGATGTGCTATGGTATGGAATACCCCTTTGGCTAGTTTGGGTCAGGTGTCCTGTCTCTGCCTCCTCCTGGCTTCTTGTGCCCCTCCTCACTGGCAGAGCATGAGACTGAAAAGTCCTTGATCGGTGTGAGCCTTACTTAGAAACAACTAAAACACCAGTGTGTTATCAGCATTGTTCTGAGACTAAAGCCAAAACACAGCACTGCACCAGCTACTAGGAAGGAGTTGGAAACCTTCTGAAGACCTTTATGAGGAGAATCGTGTTTCAGGAACCAAGGGGTTCAGAACTTTCAGTATTTATTTTCAAACTAACAGACATTTTCTTGACTAGGACAGTTTTCACGAGAGTCCATTGTATGTGAGGAACCATAGTTTTCCACAGAAATAAAAGTGCCTTATTCAAGTTTCCAGCATTACAAAGACAGCTGAGAGTTTAGTAGGTGACAGTAGGGATCTGGAGGTCACTTATTTCTTCTGTGAGAAACACAATTAGCATTCCTTGATATGAGATGCAGACTTTGCTTCTAACTTTCATTGGCCATTAAAATGAAAAATAAAAGTTTTATTCTTGCTTGATAATCATTGTCTTAGGTCTCTGTGGTCTTAAAATCTGTTCTTGGCATTTGCAGTTTTCCTTAAAAGCACCATTTCTAATTAATGTATCATTTTCAGGGATTTAACATTGTGTAGCTAATCCAACTGCTCAATGACTAAGAATAGATGACCAGATTGAGAGAAATTTAGATTCCCTTCCACTCTGAATTGAAATGGAAGTCTTCTCTGCACCTAAAAAATAGAAAGTCTTCTCTTCAAGTTATTAGTCTTTTCCAAATATGTAAGTGTGGTGGTTTGAGTGGCTCAGGGAAAAGCACAGATTGGAGGTTATGTGATGGTCTAAGTAAAAAAACCCAGTATTTTTTCATCACAGTCCTGAAGCCTTGTGTTATAGCAATCCAGTAGTTTTAAGCAGTAGATGTGACACAGGCTTACTAGTATGCAGCCTTTAAAACAGGCCTGAGTTACTCAGTTTTAAAAAAAATAGAAGTATGGGGAAGCAGACCTTAGAACCCTAATCTGCAGGCTGGCACATAGGCTTTTCCCGGTATGAGTTATCTCCCCACCAGCCTAGGCAATCAGTTAGCTCATGGCAATTAGTCTTAATAAGGCAGTAGAGTGTTCCTAGGTGGAATAGCTGACTCTACCAATTATTGGCAGCAGCTCCAGGGATTCTGGCTGCTTGCATTTAAGAGGGAGTCATATGACTTCATGCTCAGTTGTTGCTTGTTAACTTGACCTTTCTTTTTCTCTCCTCCACTGGACAGTGCAGCAGCTTTAGTTTAAGTTCTCCCTATAGCAGCAGGCAAAGAGCAGAAACTTACAGAATTTGACATACTCTGAGATGGATGCCTGAGTTTGCTTTTTCTTTTGAGTAATTATTAGTTGGATACAAGAAATTTCTTGGATGCCTACACACTCAGCCCTGTTCTGGCCGGCCTTCAGCATGGCCAAAGAGCAACAGAATCCATGAAAGGCAATTCCCTGGTGGAGGTAGGTGCTGCTGAAGCATTCCCTCCCAGCAAGGAACACTGCTGTGCTGGACAGAATGTGGGGGCACAGGGTGCTCTGAGGGTATCTCCCACTCAGGATGTTTCAAGGGTGCAGTGAGACTGGGGGATTACCCTCTGTGGATGCACACAGGCACTGTCTTAAACAAGTGTAAGGCTTCCCAAAAACCAAAGCTGACAGTCAGGCAGAATATGTCTGATTTACATTAGGGTCGGAAGATGGTAGGTAGCCTGTGGCCTTAGGGTGACTGTTGGGAGCAGGATTCAGCTCCACTGGGAAGGTGAAAGAAGCAAAAAAGTTGTTTTGTCCTATTACAGTCTCTTATTTTTCTTGGTCAGTGTGTAGGGTTGCAAAAGTCCATCCTGATGTACTTAGGCAAAAAGAGACAAGGGATATTTAAGTTGGCTGATGAGCAAAATTGCTGTCAAAAGTAATTTAGATACTGCACAGCTGATCCTGAGTTCTGAGTCTTTCAGCTCTTCCAAGGAGAAGGACTTAATCTTTGCATGTTTGTGAAGTTTTGAGGTTGGTTTTGTTTTCCCCCCCCCCAGTATCCATTATTTCTGTTAGGGAAACAAACAAAAACAAACAAACAAAACCCAAACACACACACAAAGGCAACCTATCAGCGATTGTATGAAATCAAAAGCAACAGAACGTACTGCAGAAAATATCGTCATAAGAAATCAATCCAGTTTGTGCTCTCGCCTTGGTCTCTCCTTTGTGCTAATTTTGAGCATGAAATTTCAAGAAAAATACTGACAAGATGATCAAAATCCAGATTGGATCTGGTTTGCTGGCAGTGTTTAGTGCTCCAACAGTCACCATCTCTGACCAAATTACAAAGGAGGGTGGGAAAGCCTTAAGGAGAAAATACTGTTCAGTCCTTCTTAGAGAAGTGGAAGCTGTGCATCACGTCCAACAGGAAAGGCAGTACTACCGCAGCTACACCGCAGCGCTGTGGGACTCTGCAGAAGGGAGCCAGAGATTAACAGTGGCCAGAGAGAGGGATTCTGGCTCTAGTTTCCCAGCTGGCAGGGACAGGGGTGGAGTCCTTTCTCTGCTACCTGCCCAAAAGGTTTGATTGTGTTTGGGGTTTTTTAATCCAGTGCTCGTCTACTGCAAAAGCCATGAACTGCCCAAAACAGGGATCAGATGCCACAACTTCCCTGAGAGTATCCCTATTGCTAGGTGGCAGTCATCTCAGTCACGCTGGGCGCTTTGTGGATCTTTGAGGACTCTGCCATTCACAGGAGGGGTGTTCCACTGGGCCAGTTCTCTGCAGCAAGCAGATGCTTTTGTGAGTTACAATTGTGTTAGGGGTTTTGGAACATGTGATGTTTCTGAGGCGTTCAGTGGTAGGAAGTATTCTGTGAAGTTAACGCGTGATGATTGGCAGATGTATTCATGATGATTGGCAGATGTATTGTGTGTTAGGATAGTGATATAAAGTCGTCAGACACAAGATACCCAATTTGTTGTAATTTACAGACAACTTAGAAATCTGGGTTTCTGTTCCCTAGGAATTTTTTCTGACCTAGCTTTGGTTCCACTTAGTTGGAAGCAAACAACTAAAAGGACTCAAAATTTATTGCAGACTAAGCTGCTGAAGCCTGCAGATGCTCAGTGATACTGATACTCTTCATGCTTTCACTCAGCAGCTGCAGACAGCTTCCAGTTCCCTGATTCCAAGGGAAGTTTGGCAATTTAGTTTTCTTTTTCTTGTCCACTCTTCATTCAAACTCTAGAAGCTGAGAAGTCAACCTGGGATCAGCAGGAGGTAAAAATATGATTTCGCACTTTAATTAGTTTGTTAATAAATCTGTTAGAATGCAAGCTACCTCCCACTCAAATGAGATTAGCTCCTCTGTTCACAGCAGGACTCAAAAACTGAACTCTAGGGCTGACTTTAGCTAGGAAACCTGGAAGCACAAGGTCCTTAACTGTAGAAATCCAGACCAGTTCCTCAAGTCCAAAAGGTGGCTAAAAAGCACACATTTCAGGCTCATGTTCAGCACTTCCAACCAGCTCTAGGCATTGTGTGATACTGCAAATCTGTATCTGTACCATGGATACCTGCCTGATCCTTGCATTTATTCCTTTTATTCCTCCATAGAATGTTTCAGTTCTAGAAAATCATCACTGGCGGTCTACGATAGGCATGCTTCGAGAGTCACGGCTTCTCGCGCATCTGCCCAAGGAGGTGACGTAAGTGTCCACTGGAGGAATTGCATCACTGAAACTAGCCCGTAGCTTCCTTTACTCTTCTTAGAAGGACACTGGCAGAGGCCCAGGCTTCAGAGTAGGCTGAACTTCCTGCCCTCTCTTGGTGTCAGTAAGAAATCCTGAGACAAGGTTATACAGCAGCAGTATATTCTAAGACCTCGCCACTTCTGCAGCACAGGAATTGCCACTGTCAGGGCAAGGAACACCAGGAGTCACATCAGGAATGGACCATTTCAGGCCCATTGTTGGTATTTTTCATTTTAGGTAGCACCAGCCAATTATGGAAAAGTTTAAGGATTAAAAAACATGAAATAGAAGAACAAAGCAGTTGGTCGAGTAGCATTGGGGCTGCTCAGGACTTCCACACCTGACTGAGGAGGTGTGGTTCAGTCTTCACCATCTTTTCACGTGAAGGAAAAAAAAAACAGCAGCATGTGCACTTTGGCCATGTTGATGCTAACTTTTTACCTGCTGGTTTTGTGCAGTGTTAGGAGTAGAGACTGAGCCAGTGAACAACCTGCAATACTAAATTTTAATCATAGGTGACCTTAATGAGAATATAGACAAGCGATAAGCTCCATATCCCTCCAGAAATCCTTTGCACCAGACCAACAGCTTCAGTCATACTTTAAAGGACTTCAGTCTAGTCCTTCACAACTTCAACTGCAACTTCAACTGCAACTTCAAAGCTGCAGTATTCACCACCTAGCTCTGAGCAGCTGTGACCATTTTTCTGGATGCATTATGCTGTTGTTTTGGTTTTGTTGGGGGTATTTCTGTGGTTTGGGTTTTTTCACTTTTCCAGGACTTTTCAGAAGCTTTCAGAACCACCTATGCTAACAGGAGTTTTTCTATTCCTTCCGAACCCATTTAGGCAGCTAGATCAGTCGTACCCTGCCAACCCCTGCAGAGACTGACCAAACAGATCCATAAAGAAAGAGAAGTTTCATGCTAGCTCTGATTTGTAGCAGATTGTTTTGAGCTATTAATGTTCAGTGGTTTGGTAATTGAAGGGGCTTATTTTCCTTAATTCCAGACAGGACATCGAGCAGCAGTTGGGCTCCCTGATCTTGGCAACAGACATCAACAGGCAGAATGAGTTTCTGCTCCGTCTGAAATCTCACCTTGACAATCAGGATTTGAGGCTGGAGGATGCTCAAGACAGACATTTTATGCTTCAGGTAACGTCAAAAATTTTTCTACTCTTGTGTTTTATTAATTTCTCAAGTCACAGTATCTCCTACTATGTGTTAGAATAGTGATACAATAGTGTGTCTGGACATCAGCATCTCCTTACCTATCACCATAAACACTTCCCTTCTGCCACCTGGCATGTCAGGCAAGCATAAGGCGCCTTCAGTACTTCCTTATGTAATTTTCTTCCATAAAAAGCTGTGCATGCACAGATAGAGGAGAGTGTCAATTGATGGGAAACGAAGATAAGCTATTAACTATTTTATTTCCAGACCACTGTTTCTCTTGCCAGATAATGCTTCAGTCATATTCTCTCTTCTGTGGACACCACTTCACCGGTGTTATTTGCTGCCACTGTGCAGGAGAGCCCCCTTCTTGGTGTTCTCTCCAAGACAGCCTGGCACCACATGCCCAACCCTGTTCCTGGGATGGATGCTTGGAAGCTGCCTCTGCAGAGACAGCTGTTGCCATGGCAGCAGGTGCTTCTCCAGTGGACCTACCTAGCTAATGAAGAAACCATGCTTTATTCAGAAATCAAATAGATTCAGGCTTGTTCTTCCAGTTAAGCTGTGATCATTAACGGGCTCTTCAGAATAAATCTTTACCTATTAAAGCATTATTTTGGCTAAAATAGCTGCATATACATGGTTCTCTAAAGCATTAATTTCACTCGTAAATACATAAAGGAGTTTAAGTAATCATGATAATTTATAAAACAAACATTTACATGTTTGTCAAGGTTACAGGAAAGGTGTCAATTGCAAGGAAAGAAGTGCTGATCTGTTAATTCTTCCACCTCTTGCAGCATGGGAAATGTAGCAATCTGCTCACCTGTCCTCCGTCAAACACGGTCTTCTGTCAGGTTTCTGCATGGACTATGCAGGGCAGGATAATGGGCATATCATATTTCTGGATAGATTAGGCAAGAAAGCTGTGCAAATGCCAAATGCAGAGGGATTACAGATCTCAACTACGGCAGAAAGTTTCTTACGTGCTTTCTTGAAGATAGAAACTAGGGCACAGACATGGTGAGATTCACTTATTGAGTGGATTAGTTGTGAAGAAAAGAAAAAAGAAATCCAAAAATGTTGATTGATCAGGATAAATTAAAGAATGTTTGAAAGGTCCTTGTGACAGTAAAGGCCCTAGTGACAGTAACATTAAGGCTAATCAGTTTAATCCACAGAAAAAAGTGACTTGGACACTTCCCTCCTCCAGTTTCCAGGTCTGAATTTATACAGGAGATACTTCTTTTGGTTTTCTCTTGGGTGCCAGAATGATTTCTGACCTCTGTCAGGGTAACCAACTGCGTTCAGTCTCTGAAGAAATGAGGCACATGACATCTTGTTCTTAGGCAGTAAGACACTCTCTTACATGGTTTACTTTTCTGAAGCAGTTACTTGATTTTAAAAACCTCTTGCCCTCCTGTACTCTTTAATTCCCCTGCAAAGCACTTAAAAGTGCTAGTTAACTAAGTGAAACCAAGCCAGGGGCAGTGCACAGAGCCCTGTGCTTCCTTTTGTAAACAGAAATACGCAGACATTAAGATGAAGTGTAATTGAAGTGAGATGCAAGGTCACTTACTGAGACCACAGAGAAATGATGCCCAGATACACCAACTTGGCTCTTCCCTTCCTTGTCATCAGCCATAGGTACTGAGCCAGGCAGTCAGCAGGAGCCGGCCTGAGGCTTTTGTTGGCTTATTTCTTGCAAGGAATATCCGCAACACTTTGCGGCTTTGGAATGTGGCCCTCCTCTTGTTCTCACTACAGTAAAGCAGAGGGCTGAATGAAAGTTTTGTTTGCGGCTTAAATAAATGCTTTTTCCTCAAAAAGCATATTTGTGTGAGGCTGAGTCTCTAAAAGGTGATCTTAACCCTTCCCAACGTTGCTGGTGAGGCCTGGGAGTTTCATGACTGCAGATTGACTGCTGAAGCACTGCTGGACAATAACCTCTTTCCTCACCGCTAATCTGTCTTCTTTGCTTTCAGATTGCGCTCAAGTGCGCTGACATTTGCAACCCTTGCCGGCTCTGGGATCTGAGCAAACAGTGGAGCGAGCGGGTCTGCGAAGAGTTTTATCGGCAAGGTCAGCCCCTTCACGCGTGGCAGTCACCTTTCTCCTCGGCCTGCCAGGCTTTTTGTGTGGCGAGGCAGAGGTAGCATTCAGCCTACCCTGTTTGCCTTCAGATGTCTCTCAAGAACAAGCTGTCGGAAGAGAAACTGCCTCATTTTAGAAGTGGGAAGAGGTAGAAGAGCAGCAAGTATTTCTTTGCCCTCACTGATCCTGTAGCAGTGCCGGGCGGGAGGGAGGGCTCTGCTGTGCCTCAGTGCTTGAATTCAGCTAGAGAGCCCACGGCTGGATTCTTCTCTGAGAACCCTCCCATCACCATTAGTGTTTCTGAGCTGAAACAGCACCAGGGCTACACTGCACCGACATCCTGCTGCTGTCCACCATGTTTTATCTCGCTTTTCATGCTCCTACCACAGCTCTGATGGGAGCCTTACCCTCGCTGTTTCCCCAGTATGACACATTCTTCTGCCTGAATGCAGAGAAAGGGTTCAAACGCGCTTCCCAGCGCGCTGTTGAAAGGGCCAAAGCAGACAAGCCAAAGCTCGGCTAGGACCTATTGCAAATGTTTTCAAACTCCTGCAGACAGCGCAGTCAGGCAGGGATATTTTTGAAACACAGTAATTACACCATTTGGCTCTATGTGCATAGGCAAGGTCATGCTGTGCTACAACACAGGGCGCAGCAGAGTTTAATCACTGCTAAATTCTTTGTTTGGAGCATCCTGAGAGCCAAAGGCAAGTGGCACATACGTTGGAAGAGCACACAATGAAGTTCTCAGTTCATTTAAAATTCTGCAGTACAAAATTAAGCCACATCAATGCTGGTACCTGGTACAGTTAGTCCATAACAAGGACAAATAGGTCAGCAAGTTAATTTTCAGCCCGTGTCAGTTTAGGCTGGTGAAATGTCTTTGCCTTTGATGCTTTTGAAGCAACATAAGCAACTTGCCAGATGCAGGTTTATTTAGTCAGGTGTATAATCAAGGTATAATCAATATCCAGCTCATGAGGACAAGGCCCCATCTGTGCAATACCTCACCTTGAGTGTGTTGAGGGACCATGCTGAGAAAGGCAGCACTCCCAATTCTTACAAACAGGTTTTTCCCCAGGACTCAAGATTTATTGGTATAATATCTAAAATATAATATACCTCCTAAAGGGGACACTGGAGCATATGAGACCAGTTAGAAGCATAGCAGAGAGAAAAAGAATTTCATATGGGAGAATATACAGAAACTGTGGTCTGACTATCACTGGTGGCTGGATAATCCTGGTAAGTGATACAAAACCACTGTTAACTAGCATGTATTTAGATACCACTTTAAAATGTTACTGTAGACTCTCTACCCCCTTACAAACAGTGCTGGGCTTTTGGTCACCAAGTTAAAGATCTGAAAACCATAGCACTTATGTTTTAACTATAGATGGGGCAGATAATACCACAATTAGTGCCTTGTTAAATCTTCCTCCTGTAAGGCATACAAAGTTTTAACATCTTTCATATCAAACATTTCTAATGCCATTTTAAAAGCGATTCAGATCCTGATCTTCCAGTCATCTAGTGCATCTACACTGCCTGTATTAGCAAATAAAATACACAACTGAGGTACATGCCAGGGAGCACCTGATGCCTACAGCAGCTCCTAACATGAACCTTTCCTAGAAAAATACTTTAGCTTGTTCTCAGATACTTTAAAAGTCAATTAGGAACATGAGGTAAGTAACGCAACTTGGTTTGTTTATATATAACTGGAACTGGCAAGAAACACGTTTCAAGAAGATGGCTGATATTTAAGCAACAGTGATGATCAGTTTCTCTGGTGAGGATTTAAAATTGCTTGGAAGGCTTTCCCCAGCGTGAAAGTTCACAGCAACTAATTTGTGCAGTGACTTTTATAGCAATTTGAAGCATAAGAAAATTGACCATCATTTAAATTCTTACCATGCAAAGGAAAAACCTTACTCTTGTCAATTAAATGACTTGTCAAAGACAAGGATATATAGATACACTTTGAGCCAGACAGGTCAACCATTTTCAACTCGGAATACTTATAGAGGGGACATCACTGCAGTTCTGTGTCCACTGGAGTGGAGACAATTTTTTTTCAGTCAAATATTTTTAGAGGAGAAAAGGAAGACAGTTGAACTGCACATTTGGAAGCATGACGAACGGTTATTTTGTCTCAGTTTTGCTGAATTGTTGCTTTTGATTGTTTGGGAAGCTAGAAGTGTTCCCCTGAAATTTTCTAAATATCTAATTGAAAACATTCCCCTCACATTTAAGAAGAAATTGAATGTTGCAGAGAGAGGAAAGGCAAGGCTTAAAAGTGCACATGGTATTTTATATAGGGCTATAGAACCTGAGTAAGCACAATAGAATTTAAGTCAAAACTATGCAACAGCACAGGCGTAACCCTGATACCCAGGTATACTACAATAGTAAGACAAACTTGTAATTTCATCCTTTTTCCACATTTATAACTTGAATTCCATAGCTCGACACATAAACACAAGTTGCCTAGGCCAATGGTCTGGCCCTTATTTGTTAGTGTGCTCACACACATGGGCTGCCAGCAGTGGCTTTAATGTTCATTCAGAAGTCGTCTTTCCTTAGAAAGACTTTTCTTTGTATGGATACTCAGTTTCTCTGAGACCTAAAAAGAAAAAGTAAAAAAAAATAAAGGTACTTAGACATTTAACGTAGTTGTCATTGATGGAAGATTCCGGCTGCTCAAATCCACACAGTTGCAGCCACTCTAAGTATCTGGTATAGGCATGGAGAAGAGATGTAAGTGGCAGAAATTTATCTTCTCTTCTTCTTTCTTGCAGGTGACCTGGAACAAAAATTTGAACTGGAAATAAGCCCCCTTTGTAATCAACAAAAGGATACAATACCAAGCATACAGATCGGTAAGTATTAGTTTCATTTTTTTCTCTCCATGTTTACCTCATCTTAGTATGGCACAAGCTCAAAGAGAAACTTCCCACTGTCTAGTTGTCTTAACAATAAGAACTGCAGGTACCGTAAGAGTCACAATTCACATTCTAAACAAAATGTTCAAAAAGAAACCTTACCCAAGCCAAATACACGATTGAAAGACAAAGGAGTCATTGCATAGGGAAAACGGGGACCATTCTAATATTTGTGAAGAAAAATTGAAGCCAGTGTGTCAGTATTGGTTACTTTCTAGTCTGAAATCTTCTCAGAGAAGGATGCTGTCTGTCATAGACTGTATTGTTACACATACACGTAGAGCCACATCTTGTCATATGCGCTGGTCAAAAGCTGTGCATCTCACAAGGAACTGATGGTTGCTTGTTATGTCTAGTCAGGGCTCTTACCACTTACATTGCTGTATCCTCTTGAGACATTCTGTGGGGCAGTGCACTCATGGCATGAATTTGTTCTTCACCTGCTGTCCTTTGTGTGTTTCCCCAGGGTTCATGACATACATTGTAGAGCCACTCTTCGAAAGGTGGGCCCAGTTTACAGGCGATACCCCCCTGTCTGAAAACATGCTAAACCATCTCAGGAGGAACAAGGCCAACTGGAGGAGTTTACTCCACAAGCAGCACAGCAGTAGTAGGAGCAATGACCACTCAGGTCAAGTGACTGGCAGCCAAGAACAGACTTTAAATGAAGAAGAGACTCCTTAGTGGCAGCTTTGCACTTTTCCTTATAGCACTGCTATCTCTGTCTTGATCACAGCAGCAAACAAAATCCTGGGGAGCTAGGAGCCTGTTGTCAAGACCATGGAAAGGGAAGAAATGGCAAAGCAGAAGCTGTAAGGGTTATTGTGAACAAGCCCACGGTTCTGCTGGGTTCACTTCTGGATCTCCTTCACGTTCCTCTCCCCTCTTTTCATTCTGTGCATGCCTGATGCCATTCGTCACTTCTGATCATGAACTGCCTGAATGCAGAGTCCCAGTCAGCAGTACTGAAAGCCAGGCCAGTTATGGCTGCCACGAAGCAGGGAAGATTCCTGAGAGAACAGGGGAGCTAGAGGCACTCTTGGTTATATAGTCATTTACCACGAGTCATACTGTGACATATGTATATAGGCCCAGAGTACCGTACGCTTTCCAAGCTGGCAGCTGGGCTGCACATTAAACCACCAGCATCTTGAGCATCCAGAGGACACTGGCTGAGTGAGACAGCGCTCGCAGAGGGCAGAGAGAGTCTGGTTATTTTAGTAATTAAAACAAAAACCTTTTTAACTTTTGTATTCTGTGCACTAAACAACAGATCTATAAACCTTGGACTGAAGTTACTCTCCATATACACAACTCCAGTGCAACAAGGCTCATTTTGGTAATCATTTTTATGCCACTTTGGATAAAAGACAGGCATCTTCTCGTTGCAAGGAACAGTATTCCCTCGCAGCCAAAAGGGAAGGTGTTGTACAGTCTAAACCTTTGAAACACAAACAGATCTATCTTTTGAGTACTGTTTCAAGTAACATGTTTATATTCATATGTGTACATTTTCTGTAAATACAAAGCGCTACTGATTCCCATGCCAAAATACTGGAGTACTGTGGGATTGCTACCTGTAAAAACATTGGCACTGTGAACAGAATACTGTTAGTTTTAATACAAGAGAAAGCATTTGTAAATATGGTATAGAGTTTATTAATATACACCATTGTTTGTGGATAAAAGCCTTAACTTCTAGCATCCTTCATCTTCTGATAGCTGCCAAAATCATATGATCACAAAATATGATTCTGAACTGCCTTTCCACTACCCAAGGTGTATCAAAGGTCATTAAGGAATGAAGTCTGGCAGGATAACTTCTTGAAAACTTCAAACACATTCCATATGGGTCAGTGTTGTTAATCCATGGCACCTTGCACATTTGGTCTAGGCAAAAGCTTCACAGAGCCTGTAGTTTTAAGTTAAACAAACCCACAACACCACCACATAATTTGACAGTTCAGCCTGATCATCATTTATTCAAGAGTGTGAATTTTTATTAAACAGCTTAGTGATCTACAAAGCACGGCAGTCTGATAGTCTTGGAGTCCAGTTGTTTTCTTCAGAAATGTTTCCCCACATTCTCTCCTTAAATATCCAGCATCAAAATGCATTTGTATTTTTATTTTCATTTAAAAAAAAACCACTTCAACTGACTTTTAGATCGGTCTCACTCAATGAAGAGAAAAAATATCTTGTAGTCTGAGTATTAAGAAAAACTCTTTTAATGATTATAGCAGCTGAGGAATTTTCTACAGTCTTGTGCTTGCGAAAGATCCATGGCCTTATCTATGCCATGAACAATGTCAGTTGGGATAGTCTTTATAAAACTTTACTTAAGCTTTCATCATTTCAGTGAGATTGTATTACCAGCCATTACTGCATTCCACCAAAGCAATTATCCCCTTCTCCTCTGCCCCCAGAAAAATTAATTACATTCAGGTAAAGTATAGTGGTGGTTTAAAGCCCCAGTACATCAAATCTATATAGCTGTTTTCCAAAAGAACTAGCAGATACAGCCATATAATCATGTTTGGATGTGAATAACTGGTAGAGACCAACAAAGAAAGAGCTATTTAAGTTGGTGTTTGAGAAAATTAGTATTTACTCATAGGCATGCAAGAGGAGGCAGAATAGAATTTTTCTCAGTTACAGGGGATATTGACCTGATTAGACAAAGTGCTTATAAGGTGACTGATAAGTTTAAAGGAAAATAAAAAGCATAAGTAAGTTTTAGTAAAGGATGTTTTACTCTACTAATTCATTGGCCATGTATCTTTAGAGAAAGAGTCTGAAACCCAGTGAAGCAGGAAGGTGGAAGTCACTGTGAGAACACAAAGCATCCTAAGAACGATGTTTTTTTTCCCTACTGTTCTGTGAGCTGTCAGCAGTAGAAAACATTCTTCTTCCTCCCTCTTCTAAATGGGACTCACATATTAGAAGTACCATACCAAGCAAAGGGGCGGAGTTGTAGTAGAATAAAATTATTTCGAACTACAGGGCATAAATGTCTTTTTAACCACCTGATGGTGGGGGTGGGAACATTGCCACTTTGCAGCTTTGTATGTGTATCTTTCCTTCTCCTGATAGACTCAGGACAATTATTAGGATGATATGCAAGGAGTATAAAATGCTGCTTAGAAGCACTTAAGTACATACAAAAGGATGTAATTTCCCTTGTTTTGTCTTTTTACTGAGAAATTGAAGCCATTTTCTTTTTTAAACCTTCTGAAGTTTCGTTAAACAAACCAGTGTCTGGCAGCATAAAAAGCTCTTGACAGATGTTGAGCTGTTTCTGAGAAGCTTCCAGAAAATAGGCCCAACAGAAAAAGCTTAGATAGAAATGAAGTTCTGTTATAGCTACAATAAAACCAAGACCTGTAATTAGAGCCTACAGGATCCTTTACAAGTCTGCTCTTACCAAGTTAAAACTTCCCAACTTTGAAAAGCTGCTCTTGAAATGAGCAGGTTGTGGGTTTTTTTGGTGCATTGAACACGCTAGATTTCAATCACCTTGTCTAACGAAGCAATGCTTGAAATAAGATCAGGGTGGCTCCAGAAATGCTTCTGTACTTGTGAGCCAAACCCATTACTCAAGTTTGGGTCTGGGCCAGTTTGCCTCAGGTGCGCTGAAAAGTTAGGCACTGGCAGCAGATGCCTGGCAGCCAGGTTCACTGGCATCTTTCATGCAGAACGTTACCACCTGATTTCCTGTAGAAGCCAAACCCTACCCGATACAGCCAACCCAACAGCACCAGTGCTCAATATATACAGTCGTGATACATATTTGGTATTCTCTAGTTTGGAGGACATATCTGTACTGGGATTTCTTCTCAGGATGCCAACAGAATGCTAGAGCCATATAATAGAAAAACACGAAGATAATACAGATCTCTGTCTTGCCAGTCCTATTTGCCACTTTACAGAAAGCCCTTGTAAATTATTTTTCTTTCTCACTGGGTCAGTGCAACTAAAATATTCTGAAGTTTTTAAACCTAGTTAGGTTTTTCATATAAGGAAAGAAGCAGAAAACTTCTAAAAGCAGAAGCTTCAAATGCTTGCCCCATACAAGTAATCTGATTAAAACCTAGTTACTTAAAATGCAGATTTCACACCATCAAAGAGGCTAATTCTGTATAAATAGCAATAATAAAAATAATAAAGTGGTGATAAGTTAAACTTTTAGGCTGGTTAAAGTACTGCATACATATGTATTTTTTTGTTAAACATTTTACCAACCTTTGGGTTTTTAAGAGCCAGTGTTTCCAGCCACCAAATAAAAGGGGGGAAAAAAAGACTGTTGAAAATGCTTACCTTTGAAATACAGAAACGGAGAGAGAAGTAGCTGAGATTAAATAGAGTCTATGGAGGATAAAACACAAACAAACCACATGATCTGCAGTTTTATCTAGCCTGATGTACAACATGGGTCAATTATTTTTGTGTAAACTACTGGTTTTCATGAAGAAAATAAGTCTCCACAAATGATCAGTGAGAAGGCTGCTACCACAGTAAATGAGATAAGCCTGTTTCACACTGCATAGCTATCTCACCAGCTTTTCCAATCTGTGGTTGAAATTGCTATTAAAAGTTTCCAACAAAACAGACAGAATGCATACTAGCCCTTCCAAATGGACTTTTCTCAGAAAGGAGGAATACTCAAGTAGTGATAACCTTCAGGTATCAGTCAGGGTACCAGCCATAGTTCATAGCCTTATATTTTAAGTCACTCATCTGAGTTGTCCATAAAGTACACCCATTCACCTCCTAACGCCACAGTCCCCCACGCATGGCCCATAAAAATCAATGCCTAAATTTGAAATAGGATCTTCAAATCCAAAAAAGCCATTCCAAAACACAAACCCAAGGCAAGCTTCATGCCATAAATACGTATCCAAATTACTTTGATTGGTGCAAAGTATTATTCTATTATTTCTTTCTATAATCCATACAATATTTTAGGTACATAAAGTGCGGAGCGTAAGTTTGACTTGGATGTAAAATATATTCTGCTTATCTTTGAATTCAAGATTGTATATGTCATGTTTATTGTAAAGCATTTTATATATACATATTCACATATCTTACACAACTCTATGGGCCAAAAACTGGTCCCACCAACTTCACTGGGACCAAGAAGCAGCCCCCATATGTGCGTATATATGCCATATGCATCATTCTGAAAGGAAGCACTAGATTGTGTGAAAATGCTGTGACTGCTATGCAGTGATGCCAAGAGACTTAACTGTATCTTTTTTAACATACTGCTGTAAGTATTCATCATGTTGAAGAATGACAACTAATAAAAACAAACAAACAAAAAAAAACAAAAAACAAACAAAAAAAAAAAGGAAGAATAAAGTGTCCAGTTCTTTGGTAGAAGCAGTTCATTGAAACAATCTCCTTAGTTTGCAGAAGACCTTCTGGTTTGACGATGCAGCAAAAGTCCTGCTGCATCCATCCTCCCACTGTTGCTCCTTCCTACCAACAGGATAACCACTTTCCTAGTGCACTGTTTCCCAGGAGAATTTTTCTCTAAATTTACCCTTAGCCTTGCTGTAGGAATTTAAATGGAGTTACCAGTAAGGAGAGTATTTCCATGTATTTCTCCTTAAGCATATAGTAGAAGGATTTTCAAACCCCAGGGAAAATGTTTCCCTGTTGAAGTATTTAAAGAAGAGGCAGTTGTCTTCTACTGTTGTTTCAGTTCTAGTAACTAGTTCTTCTTAATATCATTGATCAGTTTTAATCTCCATTTTCTCATTTCTCGGTTGCAGACCATGTATGTGCAACATCACAGAAACTTCCAAAGTTTAATTGAAAATAAGGAAAGTATTGACATTCTACACTAAGTATTTTGTGTTTCTAAATGAGAAATAGTTCTCATTACTGATGGAAACTTGCACTGCAGAGAATCTTCTTCACTTTGATACACTTCTAAAGCCAGAATTTATTTGTACCTGAAAGTGTTAAGTAACAACACTCACATATTTTGTGTGGTGCAAAATAATAAAATTGAACTGAGTATAGGAGCAGAAAGTACATTTGGTTTCAGTGTTAGCAAAAATTTTAAATTACATTCTTGAAAGAAAACCACCCTTTGGAAACATAGTAAGTGTCTTTGTGTGTCCCCCAGATGCAAACTGAGTTGCAGAATGGATTCCAGAAAGAAGGCCTTTACAGATCTACACTATATAAGGATGGAGTTGTGATGGTATCTCCAGG